ACAACAATCAGCAGCACACGGTGCCCCCGGGCCAGGGAATGCACATCCGACACCGTGTATCCTGGCCACTTTCCCCGGCTTTCCCATTCTGTCAGCATGCAACAAATGCCTCGAGTGCATAACTGCCTGCCAGGCTATACACTGTGAATCATCATATAGACAATATTAAAGACAAAAATACATTTTTAAAGAATTTTAAATATTTACTGTCTATTAAAGGATGCATTTACTAACTTTGATAAGAAATTTTTTTGCTGTTCAGTTTCAAACCAAAAAAAAAAATGCAAAAACCTTACTAGAAGTATTTAATTTTCGTTTTTGTAACTCGTCTTTGTATCGTAAAATAAGTTGTTGAAAAATATTGTTTTTCAATCGAGGTTTATTGCCAGGACATTATAATATTTCTTCAAAATAACATTTTAAATTTACTGAATAGTAAGCTCTAGAAAGCAACTAATATTTTGATTAATTATTATATGTATATAATTCATTTACAATACAAGAAAAACGTATTATACAGTTTTGGGCACATTGTAATAAATGTAAGCTTGTTGTATTATTTCCACAGCAATCAGATTTGAGAAAAAACCCATTAAGTATTAAATTAATTAATTAATTAGCTGGTTTTAAATTTAGAATTTGAAATTGTCTCAAATATATCTGATTTTTATTTAAATTTAAATAATTTTACTTTTAACAAATAATAAACATTTACATTTCACGATATATTGCTTTGCTTTGATGTTGCGAAATTTGTTCGCTGTGCAGGCTCTAAGCTCTGGCTCTCGCCCTGACTCCGGCATAAATCATGGCTGGCATTTGCATGTTCCACAACCTCCTCCTGCATGCAGCTAATCTTCGTACTGGCGAAGTGGGAAGTGCATCCTTTGTATGCCTTTTGTTTGCTTTTCATGTACTTGCTCAATTAAAAAATTGCTCCAGTAGGGGGCAATTCGGACTTGCCTTGTCGGGCAATTAATATGTTGGGTCTCCGGTAGAGAAACCATTTTTAATTGCATTTTCACACGAAATGCAGCAATTTCGTTTGTCTGGGATTTTCGCACCTATAATATGTAAATTTTTCCTTTCACCGCAGTGAAAGGAAAAACGTGCCTTGTATCTCTCTGGATAATATTAATTGGCGCTGCATTTGTGGGACTTTTTAAACTGTCCCGCATTCGATATTAAATTTACGTGACTTGGAGCATAGAAATTTTTAAAGAAGAATATAAAGACTTACGCTTTCGAACCTTTTGCCTTCGGCCCCAGCTGAACAGCAACTGATTATTTTCTTCACCGAATAGAATAGAGTTCGCTCCGTTTTAGTCGTTCGAAAAGCCGAAGAAAAAGTTCTCCTTTCGAAGTGAAACGCAGGCGCCAAATCTGATTTCGAAAGCGAAGAGAATCTCTCCACCAAAAAAAGTGGCTGAGAAGCACAAGCTGAGAGAACGATTTGGATGATTTCTGGGACTGCATGATTTTCTAAGACTTCACCATATATTGTTTATTTGTCTTATAACGGATACGAACTCTTCAAAAGCCATAATTAATTAAGGGCCAAATAAGGCCTAAATTGCGTTAAAAATAAAATTGACAAAGAGGTAAGCCCTCAAAAATTAATATTGTCTCTTGGCTTTGGTTTGTTATTTACTTTGGTATATTTTCTATGCTTAAATATTTGTAGGTGTTTGCAAGCAATACAACATTTTTAGACAATTTCCAAAATCACTAAATATGAAGTCATACACAGATTTTCCATAATACATAGCATATAATTTCATGCTCTTTTTCATTTTCCATATCAAACATATATTTAGTTTATTAACACATTCTGTAAATCAAAAGATTGTACAAATATCTTTTCAGCTTTAAAAAATTTGTTTTTGTATGTTGCTATAACTCTTTTAAGTAATGAATTCAACAATTAATGAATTACTTCACATTTTTCAGGTCCGCTATTTCCAACTCGATTTGCATTCCACACCGACCATGTAAAAATATTTTCACTAGAATATAAATCTCGACTTTTATTCACAGCCGGCACCAAAATAAAAATTCCGCAGTCTGGTAACCGAACAAATATTTTTAATTTTGCTGATTGTAGTTGCCTATAACAACAACAAGCCCTGCAAAGGTAAACGAAAAAATTCTTATCATCAAGCGTTGCAAAAATGTGTGCAATTAAAAACTCTCAACACACAACAGCAGAAAAGAAATAAAACAGAAAATAAGAAACAAGAAAGACTTTTGGAACGAGCAGAAAAAAATGAAAATTCAGCAAAACAAAAGTAAGAGAAATTAAAAGAAGCCCAAAGCAGGTTCTAGGAATCATTGGATTTTAATTAACAGAAAAAAATAGGATGGGGGCAGAAAGCATAAACAAAGCCAAAGGACCATTTGCAGTGGTAAAAAAGAGGATACACATGCACTTTGTAATTTGTTTGTTTATTTTTCAGTTTGCTCTGTGGCTTTGAATCTTGGTTTGTAGTCAAAGGAATTGGGCGCTCACTGCATTCTTTTTGCATTCTTGTGGAATTTCAATTACCTCAGCTTTATTGGTTTATTTATTTTTTTTTAGATTATAACAATTGACGGACTCACGCTGACTAATCTACATTTTATTGTCGAAGGGTCACTTCATTAACAAAAAATTTGTAAGTTAATTAATTTAATTATTTTAATTTAATATTTTTATACTAGAACTGTTGAAGGAAAAAATAATGTAATAAATATAAGCGTATTTTTCATATTTATTTTGGATATTATTATTTTTTATTATTATTTATTATAAAATACAAATTGGCCTTAAACAGCCAATTTTATAGCTCTTGCTTAGGATTAAATGCAAAAAAACCAACTTAATTGTTACTAAAAATACGATTGCAAAGAATTTTTTGTTTGACTCCCGTGCAGCGTTCACCTCCAGTACTTGAGATTGTTGTCGTCAAAATTATTAAAACAATAAAAGTTATTTTTAAACGTCTTTTAGAAGATCTGCTGAGGCTTACTGACAATCTCTGGGCGCTGGAAAAACACACGAATTCCGCCAGACTCTCCCATGAATCAAGGCCCCTGGATGCATTGCGGCACACACGTTAACCGTCAGTCCGTCGAGAATCCTTGCCATGCGCTGGCGACACACGCACCGGGTCAATTTCATGCAACAGAAACCGGAGGATGGGGAGCATCCCGGAAATGGGTCAGGGAGCAGATTTTGCCGTCTGCATGGAGGACACGTTTTCCCTCGCTTTTCCCCCGCTTTTCCTTTGAGAGGCAGCCAGGCGGGCAGAAAGGCGACCAGGTGCTCAGCTGTAACTAAACGTCCGTTTTAACATTGCTGATGGCCCTGCTCCTTACTTTGCGGACTGCAGATTGTGGATGGGGATGCGGCATGTGGTATGTGGCACATGTCACTTGCTGGTCACGTCGACTGCTGGGGCATAATTGATAGTTCAATCTGTTGCAGATCAAACGCTTGACAGCAGCCAACAGATCAAGCTGAAAAATTGTCCAAGGCTAAGTTTGCCCAAATAAGGGGTGACATTTGATTATGGGTATCTGTATCCCATAAATGCCCTTTCATTTGGCTACTTTTATGTAATTGGGGTATTATTGGAAGTAGTCAAGATTTTGTATTAACTTGCGTATGCATAAAAATCTTTATGTATGTTTAAAACCTTTACTTTAATTTGAACTATGCATTCATTAATAAATAAATAATTTTTCTTGGAAACAATTAGCTTTAGCTTTTTCATATGTTGTATTTATTACATTTACGTTTATTTACGTTTATTTAATAAAACACTGAAAAGTTTTTTATATGCACAAATATTACTTGCCAAATATGTTATTTATGAGAATCGTTCAAAATAATTTCACTAAGCTACGCCGCAATTTTCCGCATTATGCGACTTCATATTTACTTTAATGGCTTTGGCCTTTCAGGCTGCACTTTATATTTCCAAAGTTCGTGAGCGTTTGTCAACCCAATGTAGCCTTGGGGAAATTGAGAAAAGAAGCTCATTCAGACGCTGGCATAAAAACATCTTTCAGCCAAATAGATTTTGATGCTTTTAAGTAATTTTTCGCACAAATTGAATATCCCCAAGCGGCGCCCTCTGCAACTGCAGCTTCCTTTCATTCCTTAAGCTCAAGTTGGAACATTTTTTAATCTTATATTATTTCTCTAAAATATTTACTTTTGTTTTAAATTTTTTATGTACCTTTTTTTTGTTTGCTGCTCATGTTTTGTCGCTTAATTTTAATGGCTTGCTGCGCATTAAACTTCTAGCTTCATTTATGTTTATGTGCGTATTTTTATTTGTGTAATTTACACGTCGAGTGCTGATCATAAATTGTGACTCGAACTGCGGGCCGAAAAGGTCACGTTGCCTCATTAAAGTCCCAACAACAGGAGGAACTCGAACAAGAGCAATCAGTGTAATAACAACAGCAATAAGAGTCACAAAGGGCGCACACAAAACACATGGCAGCAGGATAAAATGATTTACCTTAAAAATGACAGAATATAAAATGGCAATCATTTTCCAAGCAAGTCGTGTCGGAAGTATCTTAGTGTATAATATATAAGCGGAATACTTAGACAGCCCCCAAGTAACTTCCTGCTATATTTTTTTAGATTAACCTTTTTAAACAAAAATATTTGTGACGTCAAGATAAGGCTTTAAATACGTAATTTGTTTATAAATAAAAAAGATTATCATAGAAATTTCGAGCCAATTCATTAACGTCTTGGTCTGCGCGTGTTGATATGGTACTTAAACTAAATAGTTCATACGTATAAGATAACAAAAAAATTCATACTTTAAACACATTCAATGATTAATAGTAATAAACCAACAATAACGATTTCCAAAGAAATTCTAATTAAATCTAATCAAACTGTCATTAATATAAGCTATCAACATCATATCAGAGAAAGACCTCTAGCCATGGACAAGAAAGGTGGCCCAGTTAAGAAGTCAGTGTGAAATTAAACGCGGAAGAGGAACGACTTCTTAAAAATATTAATATAAAAATCGGAAAGAAAAATTTCTATGGAAGGTAAAGTGTGATTTTGGTTGAATAAGGTAGAAACTTGTTATTTTAAATAAGAAAAAGAAGAACGTAAAAATGTGAACCAAAAACAGCAAATTTAAAAGTTAAATACAATTTCTACAGGAGACTCAAATGAGAAATAGTCCATAACTTTAATTTAAAAATATCCACCATATTAAAACACATGAAAAATTGTTCTGCACTCTAGAGGTCAACGGTTTTTGATTACCTAATCTGAAACATTTTCAAACATTTCAATTATCGTATAACTATTTTTGAAAGAAAACTACTCAAGTGGTGCACTTAGTTCTTATCTTTGAAGTAATTATTTCTTTCAGCTCGAGTTTCCAACCTTTTGCCATGGTTTTTGGTGGCTGTAGCCATTTTTTGGAGCTGGCAACTAAATGTCTTGGCACTGCCGAAGGTCGAACCTCGCCATAAAACCTGTGACAATGAGCAGCGATATGAAAACCAGGTGATGTGCGAGGACAAGGATTTTGGGGCTTTGGTTCCTTATCCGGACAATTGTAGTCTGTTCCTGGTGTGCGATTGTCTCTATCCTACGGTCAAATTGTGTCCAGCCAATCTGTGGTGGGATAACCAGACTCAGCAATGCAATTTCCCACAAGCCGTGGAGTGTATTTACTATACGATTGAAACGCCTGAGCCCACGAGTGGAACTACACGAATAACCCAAGTGCCAACAACCAGCACTAAAAAGATAACCGAAGAAACTTCAACCACTCCCTCAAGTAATTATCCAACTACCGAATCAACAGGAGGAACAACCCCAAAAACAACTCAAGTGCCAACAACCAGTACTGAAAAGATAACCACAGAAAGTACTGCCAATACTGAAGAACCTTCGACCACTCCCTCAAGTAACTATCCAACTTCTAGTTGGGATCCACCGCCTGCACCACCTGGAATTCCAGACGACTACTGTCGTGAATACGAAGATGGATCGCTACATCATTATCCCTATAACTGCCAGGCCTACATTAACTGTACTCATGGCTGGCCCGTGCTGAATTATTGTATTGATGATAAGGTTTTCAATCAGTATCTGCTCATTTGCGATACCCCCGATCAAGCTGAGTGCGAGGAGTTGCCCCTACCCACAACCACCACCACCACCACCGAAATACCGCCCACTTCGACCACTGAGGAGGATGTGACATGCGGTGCAACGCCAGAGGGTATAGAGGAGGATTATTGTATGCCAAAAGCGAATGGTTTCTATGAGTATCCCTACAATTGCAGTGGCTACTTGGCCTGCAAAAATGGTTGCACAGACCTGGATTACTGCCAGCCAGATAAACTCTTTAATACATGGCTCCACATTTGCGATACGCCCGATTCCGTATGGTGTGATCCAATGCCGTTTCCTACAACACCAGGAACGACTGGAAAACCGACGACTCCTTCAATCACTACAACTGCCTCAACTGAAGGGTCTTCCACAACGGGAAGTTATACCAGTACCACAGAAGAGATCATAAGCACTACACCTGGCCTTCCCCCAGATGTTGATCCAAATGATTGTAAGGGCTTACCTGATGGCACAATTTTCGCCTACATTAGAAATTGCTCCGAGTATCTGATTTGTCAAAACAATCAAGTGGAAATGGGTCGTTGTCCTTCTCCATTGCTCTTCAATCCCGACTGGCTTGTATGCGACAACCCGGATGATGTTGTGTGCCTGGCAGATCGCACCACCACACCGATTCCCACCACCAAGCCGACCACAACCACTGAAGTAACCACTCCCACAACGACGACCACCACAGAAGCCACAACATTGGGACCTGATCAGCTTTGCCAAGGTCAAGAGTTGGGAGCTTCCTTTCCTTATACCGAAGATTGCAGCAAATATTATCTATGTTTGGGCAATGGAATATGGAGTCTGGCACCCTGTATATATTCCAGCTACTTCGATCCCAAGACAGGCGAGTGTGGACCTAATGTGTCACCCGATGCTTGCAAAGCCCCACAAGTTACCACCACCACAACGACTACAGAGGCAACCACAACTGAAAGGATAACCACCCCGAGACCTACAACCCAGGAAACTTCAACTACTGAAAAGCAAACCACAACTTCGGCTCCAACCACAGGAATTTGTGGGGGTCGAAATGAAAACGAGAATATTGCTTATCCCGAAAATTGCAACAAGTACATTGTTTGCGTTTCACCAATTCCAATAGCCTTCTTTTGTCCCGAGGATACATTCTTCAGTTCGAAATTACAGAAGTGCGTTGAAAGTTGGGAGGAGAGTGATTGTGAAGGAGATCAGAGCACTACTACTCCAGAGCCAGGCTATACACGACCACCTCCGGAACCCACTATGTGCACAAATAGCAGTCGACATACTTTCCCGTATCCGGAGAACTGTCAGTGGTTCATACGCTGTGTGGATGACTATATTTACATGATGGACGTCTGCAATTGTGGGGAGTACTACGATCCTATATCGGAAAAATGTGGGCCGGATGTTCCATCAGATGCATGCCGATGGGATTACACCTCAACGACTTCTACTACCAGTGAGCCGACCACGACCACTGCGGTTACGAGACCACCACCACAAAAAGGACCCTGTGATGATGCTGAAGACGGAGCCCTGGTCCCCTATCCCAACGACTGCTCAAAGTATATCAAGTGCGATAGACCTATTGCAGAGGCCTTCGAGTGCGAAGAAGGGGATGAGTTTAGTGTGGATTTAGAAAAGTGTGTGGATGCTTCCTTGGCAAACTGTTCGATTACAACTACTGCAAAGCCCTCGGCATCGACGACGACTCCATCTGAAGGGGATTCGTCATCAAGCACTACTGAACCAACAACGGAACCTTCTACTATATCAACAACTGAATCGTCTACAATATCTTCCACGGAATCGACCACTGAACTGTCTACAGAATCAACGACAGAATTATCCACTATATCTTCTACTGAGTCGACCACCGGAACAACTACTGAAGATCCTACGGAATCTACAAGAATATCAACCACCTCCGAGCCAGAATCTTCTTCAACGGTACCGGGGACAACTACAACACACTCGACTACAGCAAAGCCTTCACAGGGCATTTGTGAAGGCAAGACGGACGACTCTATGGTGCCCTACCCTAGAAACTGTAGCAAGTATATAATGTGCCAATATCCGATACCCGTTGGTTACGACTGTCCTGATGGTTTGGAATTCAGTCCAACGGAACTGACGTGCATGGATCCCGAGCTTGCCGGTTGTAGTCCCAAGCTAACATCTCCTGGATTGACAACTTTAGCCCCGACATCACCTTCGACAACGGAATCGACAACAATTACAACAACTCCACAGACAACTACCACAGAGTCAACAACCGTTACAACAACTCCTAAGACAACTACTACTCACGAAACTTCTACCACAGAATTCCCAACATCATCTTCTACAACGGAACCCACAACAGCCTCAACAACTCCAAGAACAACCACTACCACCGAATCTACAACTTACCCTTCCACAACGGAATCAACAACAGATTCAACAACTCCCATGCCAACTACCACTGAATCAACTACCGTTACAACAACACCTCAGACAACTTCTACAGAATCAACAACAGACTCAACAACTCCCATGCCAACTACCACGGAATCAACAACTCCGAAGACAACTACAACAGACTCAACAACAGTTTCAACAACGACAGAGTTAACAACAACAACTTTGGCGCCTCCTACAACTCTCGATCCGTACACCCCCAATATTTGTTGCGGCCAACCCCTGGGAACTCTGCTTGCCTATCCCAATGATTGCAGTCGTTATGTCGTATGTGATTATCCCATTCCATATGCGGTAGACTGCGAAGAGGGAACGGTATACGATGAGAAACTTCTTCGGTGCGCAGCTATGTCAAATGAGAGGTGCCTTCTAATGCAATTTTAAAAAATATATATTAAACAAAAATTAGACACAGCTATACTGAGCCTAGAAGCGCCTATTATTTCCATGTATAACATTTTGTGTCAATAAAAAAGAAAACATTAAGATTTTCGATTTCATTCCACCGCTCAAAATCAATTGTGTAAGTGCACAAATGCTCAATCATTGAGAATCGCTTAACATATTTATTTCATCCTTCTGTTCTACGGCTTCTTTAATGTCCCCTTTTAAGTGTTTAACACTTTAGACATATGCCTTGCTCCACTTCTGGTTTCAATTACATGCAAACCCTTTTCCGTAATTTGTCGCAACAAAACGAACGTAAAAGTGAAACCAGACCAGAAAAAAATAAGATAATTTGCCTCTTAACACAGTCAATTCCCCAGACAGGTAACAAGCCGATTGGAAATGTAGAACCTCCTGTCGAAAGGATTGCAAGCGAAGACCTTCAAGAGGACGCGGGCACAGGGTAGGATTTTTAGCAACAGGCTAAAAGCAATTTCCCCTTGACAATGCCACATCTAATATCTTTACTCGCTTACAAGTTTCAGCCATTTATCGTAGTTTGATACTGCCGCGCTTGCCCCAAAGCTCCGACCCTCGGAAGCTCGTCTAATCAGATTTGGGGTTGCCCACATAAAAACACAATTGCCAAGGAATTATCCTTGGAGTGTGAGGGGCAGGAAGGACGTATACGACTGGGGGGTAAATATATAACAAACACAGGGATAAGTTGTTCAGCTTTGTTGTTGTTGCTGTTGGAGAAATCGAACAAAAAGAAACGAAACCAACAACGAAACCAAGGCAAGTTATGTATGTGAGTAGCAATGACAGTAACGACACAAAATGAACACAATTCGAGCAAATTGTTTGGCAATAATGTTAACTTAATGCGTTCCATTTGTCGCACTTCAATCGATAGACACGCGCGAAGGCGCTCCTTCGAGTGATTTGTAACGCTTTGATAGCTCCCCAGGACGAACAAGGATTTGTGCTCGTGTCTTTAGGGATAATCATGGTGGTGCCCACAAAATTGAGCAACAAGTCACATGAAATTCATTTAATTGAAGATAAGACTCTGTCTCACAACCTTACAGACCGATTAAATGATTTTAAATGGGATTTTCGTATTAAATTCTCATAAATTAACTGTTGATTGGCTGGGTGGCAGCTAAAACTGAATTTCGATGCCAAGCCGGGTAATAAAAAAACAATTTCGCCTAGATTTGCCTAGCCAGAGCATAGTTGAGTCAGAGCCAAAGGGAAGCGCTGCCAAAAATGGTGTACCCAAAAAGTAAGACACTCTTTCTATTAGAAAATATATTTCCAATACAAAGAGTTTTAATTAAATACATAAAATAGTGTTTGCTGGTGAGATATTTAAATTTGTTAAATCAAGAAATTTTAAATTAGATTTTGCTTTAGATTTTTCCCAGCATGGCAAGTTGTTTTAGTCAAAACATTCCCTCTTAGCTGGGTAAAAAAAATTGGGCAAAGGCCAACATACCAGAAGCTCATAAATGTACCATTTATTAGATGTAAAGTCTGAGCCAAGAATGCCAAATTTTATAGTGAAAGTTTTGGGGCATAAACAACACTTAAAACTAATTACAGGTAGAATCCCACAATTAATTGCCAAACGAAGTCAACTTAATGAAGGGATAGAAGGAAAACTTCTACCCAATGCTCAACTTGCAACGATATCCTGACATAACTAACAATTATCAAAATCTCAAAGCATAGCAGTTGAAGGAGAGACAAATCGCAGCAAAAACATTTTCAAAGCACTCGACACATGTTGGTATATCAAATTGCCATTCCTGGAACTATGGCAATCCCTTTTTTCCCCCGCTTGCATTTTGGCATTGGGTTATAGTTTATGAAACTTTTCTGGCGCATATTAATGTGCGATTCCCGTCCATTTATGTAAAATGTATTTTATGTTTCCCGCGAGTATTCCACTCCATGTTGCATGCACAGCAGTTAGACAGACAGCAAAAGTTCTGGACTCCCTGTGTTGTTGTTTTGTTTAGGCCACATTAAATGCCATTTGGATATAGAGAAAATTTCATTCCGAAAATTGGTAACTTTGAATTATTTACATTCCGATAAAATTTCACAAAAAGCTTATGCAAAATAAATGGGTATGGAAAAACCGGAAAAGTGGTTTACTAGTATTTATGAAAACATAATCAAATGTTATGGCCAGTTTGGGGCAAACGCAACTAAACTCAACTGAACCGGACAGAGTTTTTTATTAAAGGCGGATGGGGGAAAATGCACTTAACTGGTAGCTTGGCTTACGGTTTTGAGTTCAGTGAACTGCAACCTCTGTTTGATTTTAATTTATGGTTTTATTATAATGATGAAACATTTTTTTTAGAAAATAGTTAAATTTACCAAAATTAATCGGATTCTTTATGTGTGTATAAGTTTAATTAGTTTATTTATTTCCCTTTTGAAAAATAATTAATCTGTTTCCATTAGCATACTGCAATCTAATAATTAACTTGTTCAATCTAAAAGCTATTCCATTTCCAAGTTCGAACGAATCTCCCATCATAAAATACTTGAGCAATTATTGGATAACTTGCTTTCCTCCTTCTTATAGCAAACACCCACGGCAATTCATCCACTTAAGATAAGCCTCAACCTTTTTCAAAAACCCACCCACCTTCGGTGAGATAACAGCATGTAAGCGTTGTCATAACACGATCCGGTCATATAAAAACAAAATTCGCACAAATTTAACGCCTTCGACGCAGACGTTTAGGTTTTTATGGATCAGGGGGCATGCCCCCTTGAAAGGCCCCCACCACCGCCCACACAGCATTCATATTCATAAAAGGCAGCGACTCATCATTATTTGTCAGGGAAGCATGTAAACAAGTCAACAAAAAAGGCAGAAGACAAAAATCATGAGTCAACCATAAAATTTTATGAACTGAAGGGATACAGTATGAGAAATGTGGGATGAAGAACAAAATTTAAGTCCCAGTCGGCATTGCGTACACGCAGCGTGTGGTGCAGGTTTGTGGCTCAATTAAAAACCAACATGCGGCTTAAATATACTTTTTACAATTTGTACAGTGCGCTTCATGGCAGCACGTATTGTATACTAAGAATGTTTAAAATGGGATGAAATTATTATTATTGTTTTATTATTATGACATCCTGCTAAATACATTTTGTTTAATGCATTACATTTTTAGGTTCTTAAAACCAAAATCTAAAACTTATCTTAGTATGGGAAGCTTTCATGACTTCCAATTCTTACACTGAAATTTTTGGTTATTTTTACTTACAATTATCCAACGCTATGTTCTGTGGCAGGAATAACTTTTTTAAGTATCGGAAAAAACAAAATGCAAATGAAAAGCAGGTATTTTCTGTTGGCTTAAGCAATCTCTGAACAGTTTGCATTTCTTTATATTTCTTTCTCCTTTGCGTACCGTACATTTCTTTATCTATGATTCGCTTTTGAAGCCGAGACCAAAATTAGTCACTGAAGAAAGTGCATGGAGAAAGCGAGAGTGAGTGCAAATTTAATTAAATTGATTTTCGCCGCTCTCCGTGGTGCGATTTTAATTAAACTCTTTTTCGATAGATTGCCAGAGGAGGAAACGATTAAGCATACTACAACAGAGAACAGCTATTTGATTTGAGGTTCTTACACACACTCCTATATATTGTTTTGCTTTAAGAATTTTCATTGCTCAAAGTTGGCGAATTGTATATTTTGTTATTACAAGCCAGGCGGCCAACCTCTCCACAATTGGCTTTCTTTCTGGCATCCCAACGAAGTTCAGCTACAAGTCAAAGTTTTCCCCCTTCATGTGTACTCAAACTCTGTTAGGAGTCGTGTGTTTATTTAATATCTATAAAATAAATTAAACATTCATATTCCGTTTATTTACTTAGGCAAATTGAGTTTTCGCAGTTGACATGCTGAACACGCTAAAAAAACGACAAGAAAATTCAGTAGAAAGCCGGAGCAAAACGCGAGTCATGTAGGCGGGAGGAAAACCGAGCAGGTTGGGCCAAAAAAAGCAGTCAAAAGCTGGTTGTGTCATCCACATCGGTCTGTAAACAGGAAACGAGTGTCTGTCGCATGCAGGGAGTGACAAATGTCATGAAATATTCAAATTGGCAAAAGTGTTGCCGTCGCTGTCGAAGTCACTTTGGCCCTAACACATTTTAGGCAAAAGTTTGGCACAACTTTAAACGGCACCAGAAAAAATTTACATTCCTCCCACACATTTATCATAGCTCTGGAACCTTAACAGCTCATAATTGGCAATTGAGTACAATATAGAATATCATAAATACACAAAGCTCAACCATTTTGGGGGGTCAGGCAGGGGCAGAAGGCAAACGTAGATAAATCACAAGTCTCTAAGCCATGGAAAAAACATTTGTAAGCTGAGCAAGAACCGCAAACACTCCTCCCCCAAAGTGTACACACATGGAAAACGCTTCGTTTTCATTGTGTAAACATTCAAGCAAACAATAAAATTCGAAACAGGAGCAGGCCAAAAGGGCGGGCAGTGTAGCAGGTGTCAAATGTTGCGGCCAACAGAAAAAGCAAAGTCAGTTTCACCCAGGTCCTCCTATGCCTGTCCCTCCTTCCTTTTCGAAAATTTATGACAAACTGTGGCAGACACACACAAACGTTTGAAATCGCCCATATGTTTAGAATAAAAAATAAATAAGGCAGGTTAAGCTTGAAGCGCCGCATTGCAGATTCCTCTTAAAATTATTCTCTCTATAAAAGGAAAACATTTTAAAAATCTGTTAATACCTACATTTAAAAAAATAAATTAACTATTCGTATCATTAAATATATTGCAAAATTAAATTTTACTCAATAAAATTAACAATCTGATTCATAGGTAATAGTTTTTAAAATGTAAATATAACAAGGGTTTTTATAATGAAATTATAATAAATATTTTAAATATCTTTGCCTAATAACAGTTTTAATGTTTTACAAAAAAACTCCTTATAATAAACCAACAAAAGCTAAAGGTATTCAAAATATATTATAACAATAATCAGATAGATCCACTTTTAGAAATTCTGTTTTCCTGAAACGGAATTAATTTCTTCCACAT